ATCTCCCAGGTCTACGTAACTGGGCGGCTCCGTTGGTCACTTTTTGCGATCATTGTGTCGCATATGAAAAAAAATGTTTTCTTTCTTTCCTCAAAAGTGTTGCAAATGCAGACTAAGCTAAATAATTAGTTAAACACGTAAATAAAACTTAAGTAACTCAATACTTGACAAATGCGCCAAACTACAATATTCTCTCCTCTGTAAACACCCGTTTACAGAGATCCCTAAAAATACGTACAACAAATTATTAGGCATAAAATAGATAAAATATAAAAAAAAACTGAACTAATTGCATATATTTTTATTATTTTAACTAACAAAAATTTACAATAAAAGGAAATCTGGTTTTTTTTAATAAATCTTATAAATGCATCAACGTAAATCTAAAATAAAAAAGTAATGGAATTATGATATCATAATTACAAAAAACAAACAACAACCACAACAAAAAAACACCACATAAAAACTGAAAATCAATTTACCTATTTATAGCAACCTATTTTGAAATTGCAGTTAATATAAACATCTATTGATTTATTGAAAATATAACTGTAAAATCTTTTTCAAAGTACAAAAGGATTAACAATACTAAAAAAAATCAAACTAAGATATAAATTGCATTTTAAGCAAAATGTTGTTTTGGCTTTTAGTAAATAAAAACAGTAAGTTCCAATGATGAAACACTACCTATTATTTATTTTTAACAGTAGACACCAACGGGAAGGTGAGCCAAGCTGTCTATCAACACTAAACATCACAACGATAACATTACAACAATAACACATACCAATAAAATCCAGCTAAAATAACAAAAAATTATAATATGAAAGGCAAAATTAAAAAACCAATTTAGAGTTAACTATATTTATCTTTTTACTAAACTTTAATAAAGTATATTTGTTTTTATATTTAATATCAATTTTTATATTCAATTATTTCAAATTTAGGACATTAAAGCACCCTAGATTTAAAGATTAAAGTTGCATACTCTCTCATAAACATTACGCTAAACATTATCAGACTTTATTATGTGTTTCCAGAATAATTAAAACTGGCTAGACAACACAACCTAGCTCTAAAGCAGTAACACCGCCTGGCACTAAATGCTGCCAAGTCACACCTCTGCTATAAGTACACCGCTTGGCTGGCAAGGTTATTAAACTCGCTCAACATAATACCAAGTCACACCACTTTGAAAACATGGAAACAACATAATTTAAACATATATACAACTTCAAATAAATATGACTTTATATAACACATATAAACACATTCTATAACAATATTAAATGACAGATATATTTATCAAAAACTATGAAAAACCTTTAGTAGTAAATTTTCGAAATGAAAATCTAAAGACTATAAAAAGAACATTAGAAAATATAACATTATTTGTGTAACATTTTTCACCTACCATACCATGAATAGGATGTTTATCAATTTTGAAATACAAACTATTAAATTCTCTAGTTCTTGAACATGCAACATATGGTTGACCATGATAGAAACACGGTTTTTAAGATATATGAACGATCCCTAAAGTAAAATACTTGAAACTAAAAAGATTTTATTTATTACAATATTTGAACAACTAAGGACAATTATAGTTAAACAATTTAAAGAATTATATCTTTAAATAGCAAGCAACTCATAAAATATATCTTATAAATGGTCATTATCAATTGCAGTATTAAAAAATACGCAAGAGCTCAGTAATTACATGAGTTTTATCAAATCTCTCCATACTAATTCTCATTTAAGTCTCATCTAAGAGAGAGGAAGTGTTTCAAAAGCAGCATGTTAGAAAAAGTAAAAAAGTCATGTAATAAATAACAGTAACTGTCATGTAATAAATAACAGTAACATACTAATTCTCATTTAAGTCTCATCTATAAGAGAGAAAGAGGAGGTGTTTCAAAAGCAGCATGTTAAAAAAAGGAAAAAAAGAAATGCCATAAATAATAACTGGTACATGAAATATATAGTAACTGGTTTTATTATGCTACCAATAAACAAAATTATTTTTACCATAACTAAAAATTAATTTCCAGCATTTCTTAATAAAGTTCCAGCTTCTCTCTAACTGTTGACTAATGATTAATATAGTAAATTTCACAACATATTAAGTTTACAAAATTAAAACCATGTTTCAACAGTGAGCAAAATAATCAAGTGATGACAAAGGCAACTAAAAAAAAAGAACACAATTATGTTTAAGATTACAAAAAAAAAAAAATCATTTAAATTTGAAACTGCTATTAATTGTTACTATAAATAGTAAAATTCATACTTTGCTTTATTCTAAAGTGTCTAATGTAAAATCAAATTAATCAACACTTGACACTTCTTACATTTTAATGACAATTAGTTTTATCATACCCAGATCTCTTTCATTTGACAACAAATTTTTTCAAGTCGCCTATTACCATTTACACTAATAACTTCTTGAAAAACCACTTGAATATGAAAAGCGTTTAGCAAAGCCTAGAAACTACTTAAAAATGGTATATGCAACATTGAACTTTAAATGTTGACTGGACTAATTATTAGTAGATATTTTTTAAAAATTTATAAAAATTTACAATGATTTGTTCTTCTATACCACATAAATACATCACATAATAAATTTGAAGTTAAAAAATGTAACGAATAAGTAAATACAAAGAAAAACACCGTATACGAATTGAAAATCAATGAACCTGATAGAGATAAGCTGTTGTGATACCAGAGTAGTCGTTATTAAATATTGTTATTTCATGATAAGCATAATGTATTAATGGCAAAATGATGTCTTGAATGACTTTTAGTAAATAAATAAAAGCAGTGAGTTCTAGTAATGAAACTACCTATTAATCATTTTTAACAACAGACACCAACATAAAGATTAGCTAAAGGTAACAACATTACACAAAAAATTATCAAAGATAATGTTATGTATTTTCAAAATAGTTATATTGAAGGCTAGACAACACTTAGACCTAAAGCAGTAACACTGCTTGACTGGTAACGTTGACAAATCTTGCTCTACACGTTTGCCAAGTCACACCACTTTGAAATCATGGAAACACCTTATAGAAGCATATATACTAACTATAAAACACAATATACTTTTTTAATGTTATATAACATATAAAAACACCTCATATAACAATCATATACACATTAGATAAAATACATTTCATACTATTATAAAAACACATTTATATAAACACATTTATAAAACAACTATATAACAAATATCACTACATACACATATTTATCAAAAACTTTTTAACTTTGAACATAATATAAACATATATGCAAACTATAAACATATATAACTTGAATTGGGCTAACAAAAAATTTAAAAAGATTCATATATATTCATATATTAAGATGTTGTAATGGCTTTCCCAATTATTAAAAGCATGTGAAAGCATGAAACTACCCATAAATATGAATGAAACTACCCATAAATAATGCTAGACACCATCTAAGAATTATAGTAATCTATATTTTCAATATTAACATCTATAACATGAAGCTTTAAATTTAAAAGTGCAATTTAAAAAAAGATTACAATAAATTAGTTACTGAAAAAATTTTTATAAAGATTTTATATTACCTATAATTTTAAGCTACTAAACATTATCTACTTAATGTCTACTTAAACATTTTTAACATTTTCATCTGTTTAACAACTGAATTATGATTAATCACAAATCTGGAAACATAAATATCTTTTAATTTAAATCTAAGTAAATAAACAAGTTATGAATAGAAATGTAAGGAAATGCTTACTGCTAGTATTTTTAGTATCTAAATAACTAAACAAAATAAACATAAATAGAAATATTAGCAAATGTTTACTGCAAATATTAAGAGATAAATAAACAAACATACAATAACAAATTTATATTTATGAACAAAATTCATTTACATTCAATGAGTTATATTAAATAAAATATTTATTGAAAATCCATAAAAGTTTGCGTGAAACCAAAGTCAATAAATAAAACAGATAGATGAAATGAAAAATTGTTAGGGCATCAACACACAACAAATCTGATACAAACGTTTAAAAAATAAATACAGCTTAATCTCCTTATTTAAATTTAACCTTTTTTAAATATAAAAGCTGACACAATCAACTTGCCTCGTGAATTTTCAAAAGTAGATTGAAAACTGTATGCGCTAGAGTGTTTTACAGAATACAGAATCATTACTAATATCGAACAATAGTAACTAACGGCATTCAACATTAATAACTGGACTATTCATATTTAAGATTAGATAAGACTCAAATGTTAATTTGTGAAAAAGCATGTTAAAAATAAATTTAATGAATTAAATTAAAGTGTTTAGATACTAATTTTCGGCAAACCATAACAGTAAAATCTAGTTTCATAAATAAAATCTAACAGAAAAATACCCACTGACACAATATAACACATGGAACATTTAAACTCCCCTCCCCTCATCCTTCTATTTATTTCTATTTGTTTCAAAATAAATAAAATTAACATCAAGTTTTTGTTCTAACAAATCCAGTAACATTGTATTCAGTATTTTGTGTACATTGTGCACAGTACAAATATAGCCATTAATATTTCATTCAATAATATAAGCCCACACCATTTTTTTGTTTTTTGTAGACTCAACTAAGCCATTTAATCAACTTTTCAAGTGAAAAAAAGCAAAATAGATGATTATTAAGAAAATTAATTTTATTTAATTAATTAAGTTTATTTTGTTAACTCATTTTTTATGCATTTATGTGTGTGTTGTGTGTTTTGTGTGTGTGTGTGTGTGTGTGTGTGTGTGTGTGTGTGTGTGTGTGTGTGTGTGTGTGTGAATTAAGATAAGTGGAGTAGTGAAGTAAAAATATAATTGTGTTGTTCAAATCAGTAATAAAGTCATCTCACAACTCACTAAGTTTTAGCAAAGAATATATAAGTATGATGCATTAATGTTTGTATGATAAATTAAATGTTTTTAATTTCAGTAACATTTATATTTAGATTACACTCAGCAGTTCAAGCATATAAAGAACTATTAACATGGATTACAAACATGGATAGATCGCAAGATACTATTCTTAAAGACGCTTCATCAATTATTAAAAGTTTGTTCACCTTTTTTATTGCTTTATAAATTATTCTGTTTGCTTGACATCAAAATATGATTAAACATATAGTTATATAATAGAGAAGTTAAAGTAATAGATATAAAATTTATTATAGGCTTAAACCAAACACTCAGTTTAGCCACACACCTTGTATGATTTACCTATTTAAATATGTAGCCACACTCCTAGTATGATTTTCCTATTTAATTCAGTCGATGACAATACACTCCCTGCATGTTCTAAATATATAAGTCTATCAATGTATGTACACTTCACAGCATGTTCTACCTATTTAAGTCTATTGATGCACACTTTGCTGTGCTAATACCTAAATAAATCAGTTAATAAAACAAAAATGAAGAAGCAGGTAAATAAAACAAGTAAATTAATTATAAAAATAGTAAATAAAAATAAAATATAAACAAATGAAAAAAACAAATATTGTTCTAGTATGTTAAGATGCATTTTTGTGGTTTTTTAAAAATGATAACCTTTAATTAGTTTCAATTATTTTAATGGTTTTTACATAATGTTCATTTGATTTCATCACATTTAAATACAAAGAATTTTTAAAAGCCCTTTTTAAATATATAACAGATTTAATTTTAGACATTAACAAATAGCTTATTTTAGTTGTATTTCTATTAAATATTTTGTATAGTTTGTGGTCAACCAAAAAGTGCAGACCAAACATGACAAAAAAATGATTGCTTATTTTTGTAGCAACATTAGTACTAAAAGTTTGGTTGTACCAGGTTATATTTTTGATTGGGTCTGCTTTAAATTTTGGGTGTAATTGTTTATTTGAATGATATGCAAATTTGCTATTAAAACTTGATTTAATGAAACTCCACAAGAGGAATGAAAACTTAAATTTGAAGAATTAGCTGACAGTCTTAGACTTTTTAACATGCTAGTATGGTGGTTGAAGTCAACATGTATTTGACTTTATACTTGCACTAGTTTCAGAAGAGCTGTTATTAAGGTTTAATGTTAATTTAACTATAATTAACAATTTTAAAGTTACAGCTGATGGGTATAAGGAGGTCATTGTTTTAATCCTCATTATATTTTAAAATACTTTTACAAAATCCTTTTTTTTTTCTTCATTAAACCAACAGTAAGTTGTTGGTTCTTAAACACTGCTTGACTATCATCTCAATACAATCTAAACTCATCTCAACCATCATCTAAACCATTATCTCAGCCATCATCTGAACTATCATCTTAACGATCATCTCAATAGACCATCATCTCAACGATCATCTCAACACAATCTAAACTTATCTTTGTTGTAAAACTATGAAAATCAGTAAAAGTAGAAATATGCTTAAAAAAAAACGAGTTTATTTCAAAACGCTCTTTTTTAACATCAGTAAGTAGCTAATCTATTTTTCTTTTCTCTATTCTATATTTAACATTATTATAAAAAAAACATACAATTGCATAATCGGAATTAAATTAGCGTGAAAATGGAGCTGACATGTTCAAATTGTTGTTGGCCAGATTTTATACTTAATAAAATTTACCCTGTGTCGAATTGACAAAGAAGGAATTTAATTCTATGCTGACATTTTGATATAATTTCAGTTTTCTTATTTAATAAACTGTTGTCATTGTTTTAAATAATTTCATTTTTTTCATTAAGGCATTATTTGCAAGATTTTGTTTTCAGGTTATATGCTTCACATCTTCTAATCATTTTCAAATCATCTTATTTTCACACAGGATTTAAAGATGATTAGAAGATGTGAACCACAAGAATTTTTATTATTATCTTTTAAGTTCCAAACCTCTTTTGACAGCTCTGTATCGTTTTTATATTTGGGGATATTAAATGATTTCAAATGGTTAGCATATCTAAGTTTAAAAGGTGTTTCGCTAATACCAATGTATGATTTTTTTATTGAAGGGTTATATAAAGTGATGTTGCTTGGTATACAATGTTGTTGGTCAAGCAGTTATTGAGTAAAGGACAATTGTTTTTATTAAGACAGATGCAGTTATGATAGATGGTATTAATGGTAGGATTTTTGTTTAGGATGTGCCTGTTGTGTAAATTTATTACTGATTTCATGTTTGGCATGCAACTGTAGCTGATTTTTATAGTGTTCTTGTTGAAAATTTTATGTAGTTTGTTGTTAATTGGAAAATGTTTGGCAATCAAGTTTAAAAACCCTTTTCCTATATTTGTGGTGACATTTAAGCTAAAAGGAGAGTTGTATCATATTATTTTTCATGTACAGTTTTTCTTTTGTTGTTGTTTTAAGTTAAGTTGGTAAGATAAATTATGTTCATAACCAGAGTTACATAGTGCTTCATTATAGACAGATACAGATTTATTAAACACTTCTTCGCTGCTAGAGTTTTCGGACAATCTCAGTTCAACATTTTTAGGTAGTTGTTTTAGTATACTAGGAGGGTGGTTAGATTAAGCATTTATATAGTTTTAGCTCGTTGCATTGTGTAATTTGTATTTTTAATTTCTTGATTTAAAAATATATGGCTGATGATCGCCACCATGCATGAAATTCTGAGTACCAACAAAAAGTTGTATTTTTTTTCATTTTAATACTAAATAATTATATATATGTATATATATATATATATATTTATATATATATATATATATATATATATATATATATATATATATATATATATATATATATATTGTTTACTTTATTTTCTAGATAATGTATTTTATCATGAGGAATACAGAAATATTTTTCTTTTATTGATTCGTAGTTATGCTGCCAATATGCAGTCAAAGTAAGGCATATAATTTATTTGTAATATTTTTATTAGATTTTTAAATATATTTTTAAAAAGTGTTATATCTGAAAATAATTCAAGTTTATTGCTATTTTTTTCATCAATTCTTTAAATTTTTTTTTTCTACAGTTTTTTCTCTATTATTTATGTTTTCATTTTTAAATGTTTTTTCTTTTACCTTTGCTAGAAAGTACTTGGCGGACTTGATAGAAACTTTTCATATTTTTTTAAAGCTACTGGAAAAGTTTTGTGGAGAAAAAGGATCTATATTAACAAAAGTAATTATATATGTTTTGATCACTAAGTTTTATTTTGGTAGAAATTTTTTTAAGGTTTTTGTATAAAATTTTACTAGACAAAAAAAAAAGTAATCAAGCGTCATAAAAAGGTACCAACTAATCAAAAGCAAAAGGTATTTTCTGAGGAACAGCTTCAAGATTTGTGGGAAAATGAAATTGCACCAAGTCTTTCTTCTATTTTACAAGGAAATGATGAGTTGCCTGAGTACTTTGAAAGTGTCTTTGATCCGTCTTCTGAGATACTTGTTGAAGAACAAAGGTTAGTTATATTGAAAGTTTAAAATCTTAAAGTACACATTATAATGAATGAGTTCTGATGTAAAAACAAAACAAATTGAATAAGAAAATTGGTTAGTAAAGAAAGTTGTTCTTATACCTGCACTTGGATATTATTTCACTTTTTTTAATTTGCAGATTTGGTTTTCAATATACTATTATCTGAATTATTTGGAAGAATAGAATTTCATAAAATTTCTTCAAAAATCCAAATCTACTAAATAAAAAAATTGAAATAATATCCAAGTGCTGCCATAGGAATATAATCCTTCTCGCCCAATTCAACATAGGTGATTAACCAATTTTTTACTTCAATTTGTTTTAACATCAGGACTCATTCTATTTCTTTGTTTTTGCTTTTTTTTTATCTTGTACTTTTTAACAATTTTTTCTTGATTTAAAGAATAGATAATGCTGATTTTGCAGATCTTGATGAAACTTTAATTCCCATCACAATGTTATATTTCTTAATGTAATTTTAAACTCCTTTTGTCTTGCTTTCCTGATTTATATAATTTGCAATCTTTCAAGTCGTCTCTTAACCATTATCTTGTTATATAAACTTTATCTTTTCTCTACCAGTGACTTCCAACTCTAATAGTGGTTGGTTGCATCCTTGTCGTAAGTGAAGAAGTTAAAGTATATTTATATATATATATATATATATATATATATATATATATATATATATATATATATATATATATATATATATATATTAACATCTTTAGTTATTAAATTATCTTTGAAGTATATTGCAACGCCACCGCCCTCTTAATTTTTCCTGTTTACTTTGTAACATTTACAACTATCAACTCTAACATTTGAATTGTCATTAAACCAAGTTTCACTTAATAATATAATATCTGGTCATCTGGTCTATCATAAAAAACATCGCTTTTTAATAAATTCATTTTATTATTTAAAGATGTTGGATTAGTATACCAGAATTTTAAATAGTTTCTTTTTAATGAAGTTGCAAATAAATTAGAGTTTTGTTTTTTTAGAAGGAATTTTGTTGGCGTTTTAAGCAATCTTTCATCTTTAACAATCAATAGAAAGTGAAAGTGAAAGTTCGAGTTTATTATTTCCTCTGAGTTGTTTAAATTATTTCATTCTAGTATTAAGTATTTCCTTGCTTGTCTTTGAGCAATTGTTAGATCTTTACTATTATATATTTTCCCGTTGTATGAATATCTCATTATCTCTTAATGTTATTGTTGTTGATAAAATGTGATTGGCGTTGTATTTGTCTTTAAATTCAGCTAAAATCACACCATCATTGTTGTTATTTGATTTTAATCAATGATTTTTTAAAATGCATTTGAATTCAATTTTTAAATTTTAAAATAATTTAATGATTTCTTCTTTATCATCTTTCATTTTTTTCTCATATTTGGTAGTTGTGATTCTTAAATACCATAAATTATAATAATTTTAGATTTTCTTTTTCTTTGGTTGCAGTATATTATAAAAACTTTGGCTTTCAGTTTTATTCTTTTGACAACAGCAGAAAACAATCTTTTATCATTAAAACTAGTTATGTTTGTATTACTTTTTTCCAATTTTATTGATTCTTTAATTATTTATTCTTTATTGTTGATAACTTAATATCATACATCAAGCTTTGAATAATTTTATCTTGAGAAATCTTGCATTCATCATAATCAGCTTTTTGTAAATGTACCATCGTATTAACAAAAAAAACAACCTCACATCCGAGTTCTTTCATGTGTTGAAGTGAAAAAAAAGCAGAATATATAGTATATATGTTACTGTGAATTATAAAGATTAGCTAAATGCTAATCTTGATAATATGATTTAATATTGCAACTCTGAGTTTCATGTCTTGCCACAATCTTCAGGCAAGTAATAAAAATTTAATTTTGCAATGATTTGCTTAGTGGATTTTTTTTACGTTATGGTTTAAGCTTGTATTTTATATCGTTATGGGTCGGAAATTGTTAAGTAGTTAGGTTAATGTTGTTATTAATTTGTTTTTAATTTGCTAATAGTGAAATTATATAGGTTATATGTTTATAGTTTTATATTAATAATTATGTCTCAATGCTTGTTTGAAATATTTGTTTATGTGATATTGTGCATTATTTATAAATAAATAAAAAATAAAAATTAAAAATTGATATAAAAGTATAAGTAATATAATGAAATATATTACAATAGCTTTATATGTGAGTAATTTATTATCCTAGAGATGTGAAGTAAAGTAATATAGTTGTAAGTTGTTAGTTAGGTTTGTAGTGTGCTTTATAATTTTTTAATAAGAATTTATTTTTGTGGCGTTCCTCTGGTTTTGGATACAATATAATAGCAAATTTCACATATAGACAGAGTGGATGCCGTTTGGAAATATTTGAGTAGGGAATTGTTTGTATTGCTAATTTCTTATACTATTGCTTTTTTTTGAAGAAAATCAATAAAATGGTCAACATATATATATATATATATATATATATATATATATATATATATATATATATATATATATATATATATATATATATATACACACACACACACACACACACACATGTTGACCATTTTATTGATTTTCTTCACAAAAAAAAAAACAATAGTCTAAACAACCAACAATACAAACAATTAAACTTCAGTTATACTACTGTTATACTAGTATACTTTTTAGTTTTAAATTTTTATTTAAAAAACTCTTTAGTCATATTGCTATGATACGCATACAAGATCTCTTACGAGCTGGAAAACTAGAGGGTGTTTCTCTTCTGCGAGCATCAAGGTAATTTTTAATTTGTAATAACTAATTTTATTTTTAAATTGTAAGATAATGTATTTAATTTATATCTTACAGATCAGTTTTCACCTCACATTATTTATTATTTAGTTGTTATTGTTTTTTATTTTGCAAAATGTTTTCCAGATTTTTAAAATATGACCTGAATGGTTTCTGATTATAAAATTATGCATTAAAATAAGTTGTAGATAAAAATATTTTATAAATAAATTAGATTAATAATATTAAAAATTGAATTGAGAGTATCAATAAAAATATATAACAGTTATTTAAATATTTATAAAAGAGTACTTAAATACTTATAAAAGAGAACAACATTTGTGATTTTTGAATATTCCAGTTTTTCCAGTTATTCAAATATCAGAACTACTATTTTTTAACTGTTCAAATTTTTTAAATAATTTAACAATTTGTTAAATTATTCAAAAAAAAAATTTAACAATTTTTTAATATTTACTAAAATCATTTATTTAATATTCATTTATAAATAAGACTAACCGACTCTTTATAAATGCTATTGTATTTATTGATTCTTCTTTAAATATTGTTTTTAATTTTGACACAATTCCAGATGTTAAATATATTCGTTCATTCTCTGTCGAAGATTAACTATTAGGAGAGATGAAATAAATCTCTATTATCTTATTCCAGTGGTTTCATTTGTTTGAAATTCTTTGTGTCCTTCTCTCAATCTTTTCATTAAAATTATGGCAATTGTTTTGCATGTTATTAAAACATTTCTGCTTAGTGCTTTAATAGCAACTTTTAAAGGAGATAAATCAGCTAATAAATCCTCAAATTATTTTCTAGAATTTTATCAATAGTATTCAATTCAATCAGTCTGATTATTATACAGCTGGATAAATCTTTCAATCATGGATTAAAGAGTTTAGTTTCCGCCCTTAATTATTTGTCTTTAATTGTTACAATAAATAATTATTTTATATTTAGCTCAACTGGATTTAAAATGATTAAATTATAAGTTTATTAAAATTGCATGGATTTCGTTTAATTTTGATATCTCTTATGAAACTAATTTCAATTTTGAACTCTTGTTTCAAATATTGCTGTAAAATATTTTGTGGGTGACCAAAAAGTTTATGATAAAATCATAAACTTTTAAAACTTTTTTTATGGCTTGTTTCTAATTTTAATGAAGTTTAATTCAGTGGTCTTTATAATTTTCAACAAATATTAGAAAATGATTTTTTTCAGGAAATTCAAGTCTTGCTGCGGTATTATGATTGCCATTTTTTTAGTTAACTTTTGTAATAGTGTAAACAACAACAAAAATCATTACGTAATATATCAAATTTTTTAGCTTTTCTGATGACAACAGCTACAGAAGTACAAAGTTTTTCAAAACTGTAATTAACAAAAACATATTTAATGGCATAACATTTTTTACAATTTTCAAGTTTTTTTCTTTTAAGAAAGACTCTTTTAAATTATTTTTTGATTCTGATTTAGTTCTTAACTAATTTTATCATCTCATATTTCTTCAAGAAAATCCAGTTTCACACTTTTCTTGTAGAAAGTATCCGTCACACCCAAATGAATAGCATGGTTTATCCATTGCAAATGGTGAGCGGGACTTCCTCATTCAAACTTATACACGTCTAACACTTGCACTGTCAGTTGTCATTGCAATATGTTTTTCAAATTAAATATTTGCTTAATTATTTGAATTCGACAAATAAATTCAAGTGTTAAACCCTGAAGTTGAGTGATGAATTCTAAAAGATCATTGTGAAGACTCGTTGCACTGTTACACCTGAATATTACACTGTCATACCTGAATTTTTTTTTTACATAATGCTCACACACGTTTTATTCATATTAATAAAAAAAGTTGTTCGTTTTAATTTTTATTTGATTTAATTCACATCAACATTTATAAGTAAATGTTTCATGATGATATATTATGAGTGTTCAATATTTTATTTAGAGAAGTTTGGCCAGAAGAAAAAGCTTTCGGTTCACAAGCTATGAATCCAGAAGAAGAATTCATGGTTGTTCGCAATTTATTGTTTAAAGAGCTTAATAGTATATTATTATTTGTTGTTTTTTACTCGATTTTTTTAAAATGTATGAAGTAAAATATTTACCAAGTGTGACTACATTGTATGAATATGCAATATATGTATTTACAAATTATATGTTATTTTAATAATCTTAAAATTATATGTTATGTTTTAATAATCTTGAAATGTGTAGCAAAATATGTTGCAAAGTGTGAAAATGCAATTTTATATATTAAAGTTTACATGTATTAATTACATATTCAATTTAATATATAATCAATAAATTCTATATCAATAAATTATATGATAGTGTGATTATATAATAAAATTTATTGTTTTATATAATGCAACATGGTTTAAACAATTTAATCTTGTTTGTGCAGGAGTTCAGCCTACATCATCTACAGAAGTTTCCACTACAGCAGATAATGATCTCAGTAATGAGGAACTAAGTATATATTTATTTAATAAATAAATAAATTTATTCATTTATATTTAAACTAATGAGAATCAGAATGGTCAATGTTTCATAAATTTGAGATTGTTAAGGTTTTACTGTAGAGTAAAAAAAAAACAGTTACCAGTTTCTTTACATAAACTTACTCCTTACACCTGTCTCAAGTTTAACAGAATGAAGCTTTGTAATCATAAAATTGACTTAATTCAAATTATTTTTTTCAACTTACACTATGCTGATTCTCAGTAGCTCATATATATGTATTTTTTTTCAATTCAGTATTTTTTTTAGTTCTGTTGAATTGAAATTTTTAAAATTTGCTATTCTTCTTCTTCTTTTTTTTTTTTTTTTTATTGTCACTAAATAAACTTCTTTAATTAAAAACCTATTCACAGATTGTAGACTAATACCATTTCATAAATATTTACTTTACTCAATTTTTTTTTATTTTTTTTTTGACTTACACCATGTTGATTCTCACCTATATACATAAGTATATACAGTATATCTCTATATCTCTCTCCCTCTCTCTCTCTCTCTCTCTCTATATATATATATATATATATATATATATATATATATATATATATATATATAGAGAGAGAGAGAGAGAGAGAGAGAAGGACTTTCCAAAGTATGAGATCTCTGCTTTTTTATGAGGACCAAGTACCTGGTCTGCTCTTGCAGCCACTGCATCAACTTGATGCTTGACTTTCAAGTCTTCTGAAACAAGAAAACCTAAATTTCTTTAGACTGAAGTTGTACCCAGTTCTTATCTTATTCCCATCTGATTAATCTTTGTGTAGACAAAGACTGATTTGTTGGAGAGACCTATGTGCATGCATTTGCATTTGTCAAAGTTGATGAGTATCAGCCACTTTTTGGACCATTTTACTGCTTTGTCAGTATCTAGCTGGAAACTTGCTTTTTCCTCCTCTGTTTTGATGACACATAATATTTTGTTGTCATTGGCATATATCTTGATGTGGTGAGTTATGTTGTCTAGTAGGTTATTTATGTAGAGGATGAAAAGCAACAGTCCTAGCACCAATCCCTGAGGAACTCCTAGTTACCTCTTTCCACTCAGATTCAACTTTGCCAACAACAACCCTTTGCTTTCAGTTAGCCAGTCAGTTTGATATCAACCTGAACAGTGAGCCACATAAATCGTAAGCTCTTAGTTTATGCAGAAGTCTTTTGTGTGGCACTTTGTTGAAGGCTTTTGCAAAGTCAGTGTATATCACGTCTATAGCATAGCCATGACATATTGCCTCTGTCAGAATGTCACAAGCTTCCAGTAGATTAGACACAGCCCCACTTAGGTAAAAAACCTTGTTGAGCGTTTGTGAATAGACCATTGTTATAGCAGTGCTTCATGATTCGCTCAAGAATGAAGCTCTCCATTATCTTGCATTGTACTGATGTTAGTGATATTGGTCTGTAGTTTGAGCGATTCTTTCTGCTACTGGTCTTGAAGATCGGTGTTATATTTGACAGTTTCTATAGATTGGGTACTTTGCCTTCAAAGAGAGACTTGCGGTAATCATTGCTGATGGTACAGAGATCACAGCAGCACAATTGCAAAGTACACAAGGGTACATTTTGATTTTGTTTGGATTAGTTTTTCTAGCTTTTGCTGTTCAGCTGCATGCGTGATTGTAGCATCATTAAATTTTTAATCTCTAAAATTTAGCATTTCAACAACAAATGCAGACTAAAAATAGTTATTAAGTAAATGTGAAATTTTTGCATACTTGTAGTTATTTTTCCTGCATCATTTTAGAGTGATTTCTCCATTTCATTTTCCATTTACTAATGCTTAACTTGGCTTGTAGTTGAAGTTGTTTTGGTTTGTAGTTAAAACATGCTGCAATTTCCCTCTCATAGCCATATTTTGCTGCTTTACCACCTTGCTGAGTCTTTTACATGCTGCTTTGTGCTCCTTACAAATTTTCTCATGCGTCCATCTACTGCCTGCTAAGTTTTTGCGACATAGTGCTCTCTTCCTCACTGCTACTTCAACTTCAGGGGTGTTCCATGGTTCTTTTTTACTCTTGAAAAGTAACATAGTTGCAGGTATGTGGATTTCGATTGCTTCATTAATTTTTCTATTAGTAATTTATAGTTGTTGTTAGCTGACAAAGAAATAAAGATACTTGACCAATGGCTATTATTCGTGCTGAGATGGCACCATAGTTTGTTCTAATCCATATATACCTCTTTTTGTTGTTGTCTGTCGTTCGGTTGTTGTTTGTTACAAATGAACCAATAATAAAGCAATGTGATTCACTTGTTGGTGTGTGACCTAGTGAGTCGCCTTTATGTAGTTCAATAATTCGGCCTGGTTCATCTGGCGTGTAGGTGAACCATGACTCAGCAAAGAAGAGCAAGTCTGGTTTGTCTGCTGGTTCTTCAATGTCTATTCTCGCCATCAGCTCATCTTGCATGGCACCATTTAGTGAGCATAGATTATTGGCCCAGAAATTGAGTTGCTTGTGATTGGCTTTATTGATAGTTGCAAATGATTGGAGATTAAGTGTTTTAGAGTCAGGTTGGTGAGATTTAGGCTTGAGCTATGCTTGCCGTGGTGGCAGCAGTTGCAGCATTATTTTGAATGGTGTTGTTACTGGTGGCAGTGATTGATTTAATTTTGTTGAATTGATCTTTGCTGATCCACATACACTCCTTGTTGTTACTGGTTCAATGTCGTTCAATGTCAATCCATCAATCAATCATATATTCTGAAAAATAATTTCATGGATATTTACAAATAGTAAATCTACTAATCTTAAGTAAGCGCCAAAAATACAGATCTTTATATATATAATTAGTAATAAACACAAGAACCACAATAATAATAATAATAAAAAAAAAACAATAACTATTATAATAATTATAATAGCAATAATAATTGAAATTATAAGTCACATGTTATTCATAAACACAATAGCTAAATATACATATGAGTTAGTTACAAACAGTTGACTGAAAAAATGTAACAAGTAACAAGAACACAAAACAGTTATAACAATACTATAACAAAAAACATAACAATATGATAAAAGTTAAAGATAAAATAAAGAAAAACAAAAAAGCATTAAAAAAATGAGAAAGTTCAATATTGTTACATGCATACACAAACATAAATATAAAGATATATACACATACTTACCCACATGCATAGATACACACATATTTGCACATAAATACACGCGCGCGTACATACACTCACATACATATGTATGCATACACATATAGATACATATACTTATATAGCTTTAAAATATATACATTTTACATACAGCTTTAAAAATATACATTTTAAAAAAATGTCCAACCAACATAAAACTAAAAAAAAAAAAAAATACCGATGCAAACAACTCACTAAAACATATATAAAATATGAACTATACACTACATTTCCCAATATACAAAACACAAGAATACAAAAAACATCCCTCAAAATAAATAAAATTAAATTTTTTTTTCTTCGTATCTTTAAAAAGGGAGCAATTTCTATATTTTATTTTAATTACTTTCCATTTTTGAATGTTTTTTTCTTTCAACTTTGGTTTTTTGTCTTTTATTTTCCTTTATCGTTTCTTTTTATATTTTATTTTTTTTTGTTAATTGGTTTGATTTGGTTTTTAATTTTTTGTTTATTTTTTGCTTTTTCATTTCTTTCTTTTTCTTTTCTTCATTCTCTTTTTTTTTATTCTTTTTATTTTTTTTTATTTTATTCTTTATCTTCCTTTCTTTTTTATTTTAATTTATTTATAAAATCAGTATTAAAAAGCGTCCGCCATTGCGGAAGTTTCTGCACTGTTCAAAAAGATCCAGTGCGTTGGTGGATGATCCGGCAAAAGAGCTTATCCAATTTTGTCTTTACAAACTCTTCATTTTTTTGTTTTTTCTTATTAAATATTTTGTTTCTTGCTTCGTGTTTGGATGCAGTTCAGTCTTCACATGTGTAGGTGTGTTTTATATATATATATATATATATATATATATATATATATATATATATATATATATATATATATATATATATATATATATATATATATATGTATGTATGTATATATATATACGTGTATATATATACGACCCTTGAAATTGGGGTCGGCATTTGGCAATGCCAACCTAACTGCCGACCTGAAAGTGTTTGAGGTCGGTTAAAAATTGCCGAGTTTGTTATTTACTATTAAAATTTGAAAATAACTATAAAAGCCATCATATGTGATAGAGAATGCTGGGTGAACTTTCCTTATAGATCATCTAGGTTATGAGCGTGTTCTTTGGTAGACATAAGATGGAGGTTTGTATTGTACAATCATGTATTTAAACAGAATAGACCTCCGCGACAATGACCCACATTGTATTCCTAAAATAAAGAACCTCATTTTTCGAACTTTTTTTTCATTTTAACATATCTTTATCTACTTCAATAATGTCTAGTTCACAGCTAAATGGGCAGCCTTGTAACTTTAATCAAGCTAAAACAGAACTCATCTTGCACACCTGATGTAAAGTTTACTGCTCTTCCATTGTTATCCATTTGTTTTAGTAGCTGGTTTCAACTATATTCCATAGTTTCAACTTTTTAGACAAATAATTGGACAATAGTTTTCCAAAATATTTTTAAACTGCGCGAACCTTCATTTTTTATATGGTTTAAATAATTAAGTATACATCTACTGTTGAAATTAAATGGTTTTTTCCAAAGCTTTCCAACTGCAACAACTTAATTAGAAAGTTAATACTAATCATATTCCATCATCAACCAAACACATAATACTTTTCTCTTTTTTGAAGTACTGAGGCTAACTTTTTCCAAAATACTCTAGCAAGAATGATACAATCATTCAACCTCTTTGAGGTATACTTATTAACTGCTTCTAGAATTTTTTTTAACTAGCTATTCACTGCATTTTAGAGTAAAGCAGAAAATTTCAAAATTTGATCACCCAGTTTGTTTTTTATAAAGCCTTTTAGGTAGCGGTGTTCCTTTAGCCTTTTTATCTTTAGAATTGTTAAAACTTTAGAATTTAATTGAACTTCTACTGACTGGCACTTTAAAAGAAGATTTATTTTTGACTTCATTAAAGAAAAGTGAAAAAAAAAATGAAATCTTGAATAGCCTTCTTGATAGCTTGAATAACAATTAAAAAAAATAAAAAAAAGGAAATTAAGATATTTTGAAGCAATCTGTCTTTTTGTTTAGAAAGAGACTTCAGATAAAACTTTTTGAAGCCATCTGTCGTTTTACTTATTTAAAACGTTATTTTAGAAAAAGACTTCAGATTAAACTTTTTTTTTCTAAAACGCAACGATTAAAAATCAAATTTATCCAATCAAAATTTGAATAGCATAAACTTGAATGAAAAGTTGCATAACTTTATACGCAAAGAAACTTTTGCAAAGACTTTTATTTTTTATATCTTTAAATTTTTAAAATAGAAGTAGAAGGTCAACCATAAAAAATTAGCAAAAACTGAATTGTTTTTTAAACTTTTCTCAAAAAATTAATAACGAATAACTGGTTAAACAAGAAATATAGAATTTTGGACCCCTCTTAGTAGAAGCCTATCTGACGCCAATAAAAGTTTGTCCGCGGTTTATCAATGGGTCCTGAGTGGGCTAGCCTATATAAATAGCCCATATTGGACCCAACAAAGTCCCATTTTTTTATTACCTTTGACCTATAAAGAACTTTTCATGGTTATCCTATATTAAACCCAACTTAACTTCGTTTTTGGGGGCACCTATATGGATCTTTAGATAAGTTAATCCATATTGGAACCAATAAACTATTTTGTTCTTTTGTTTAATGTGACCTATATAAAACATTTGATAATAAGCTAAGTATTGGACCCAACTAACTAAACTTACGTTTTCATATATATATATATATATATATATATATATATATATATATATATATATATATATATATATATATATATATATATATATATATATATATATATATTAGATAAAAACAATGAACAATATGCTGAGTATAATATATATTTCCTATTAATGTAAATATTATATTATATAAAAAAATGTATAACAAAATTATGCTTGATCAGCTGTTTTTTTGCTTCACCACGCTTAGTTCTATTCCCATCTCGATTGCGAGCTCAAATAAGCCATTTTGCAACGGAAAATTCAAAATCTTTCATTGTACATGTCGACGTCAGGTTGTTAAGCTTTAAGGCTTCATAAAAAATAATACATTTCCAATAGCTAATGAATCTTAAATAGACAATCTTATTATCGGATTTAAAAATCTGAACCATAAGGGTTCTTACTAGACATAACAATAGAGTGCACAATTTTAATATTGACCAAACAAAATTTAACACAATGTGCTCATTTGTATTTAATAGCTAGCAAAATTGCAGAGAAATGTGAACAAAATTTATTTAAAATTATGGATACTCATTATAAATCACTTGAAATAGCTCAGTTGCCTTTAACACTTTTTTTGATTGCCTTCGCTGGCAATTAAATTGCAGTGCTAAGTTATTGTTTAGCAACTGTTGCATCATATGGCAAACAGCTTCATCAACTTTTCTCCCTCCGATACTGGGAAAAGAGTTAACCTGCAATACATTTAATCAAACATATTTAAACATACAGATAAACAAATTGCAGTAGCAAATCAGAAAATTTTTGGAAATCAAGAATAATCATGATATTTTAAATATTTGAAATTTTATTTCGATGAAAAACTGGACTTTTCAAAATAACTTTTTTATAACAAAAATTCGTTCAAATTTTTAAACAAAATAAAATTTGAAAATTTATTATATAATAGCTAAAATGCATGCAGAAAATTTACTAAACACCAGAATACTAGTAATGCTGTCTTTAAATATGATAGACTATAAAATTACTAAAATAAAAAAATGCTAAAATTAAAAAAGTTTAAATAAAGTTTGTTATAAAATAGGAAAGCGATATAGATAAGTAGTTGCTTCTACTTATCTATATTGCTTTCATATTTTCTATTGAACTGTATATTAAACTAATATCACCTAGGCCATAAGTATTATCTTATAATTATGTTTGCAATATTGGTATCTTTTAACTTCATTTCAGTTGCATTAAAACCTTCTATGGTGTCCATTAGAAATATTATCTCATCTGGTAACCGTAAAGCATGCACCATTACATTGCCTCAAGTAAGCATAGCGCTTAGCATATTGGTGTGGATAGCCCTAGTTTGCTGAATATCCACACACACTATCAGCTACTGTACTACCAATCCATGCATTGTTTGATCTTCGTAAAGTGTAAACAATTACTTACATTATCACATATATAGTAATTCATTTATTCTGAAAAAAAACAAATAATCAACAATCAAAAATCACTTACTAGATATATTACTACAAGATAATTCATTCCTGATGTTTTGTACTGTTACAACATCTAATAGTGTTGACTGTACTATGTATATATATATATATATATATATATATATATATATATATATATATATATATATATATATATATATATATATATATATATATATATATATATATATATATATATATATATCAATGTATATATCAATGTATATATCAATATATATATATATCAATGTATATATCAATATATATATATATATCAATATATATATATATATATCAATATATATATATATCAATATATATATATATATATATATATCAATATATGTATATATATATCAATATATGTATATATATATATATATATATATATATATATATATATATATATATATATATATATATATATATATATATCAATATATATCAATATATATATAAAATAGTGTTGACTGTACTATAATACCATAAATCATAAATAATGAAAATCAAATTACTAACAGCTGATTCAGCTTGAGATCTAATACATTCCAAAATATGCAAGGTACGCCTCCGTTTTTTAAACTATGTAACTCACCAAAATGATTCAATAAATCACAAACTTTTAGAAACAACATAGAAAATAATCCCTAAACAATAACAATGTCCCATGTCAGCTTTTCCCAAGACAGGAATTCGGAATTTATTTCATTCAGCATCAGGTGCCACTCTATCTTTTGTATTTTTGTTGATAATTTTTTTAAAGGCCACAAAATTCTTCTTTGTCAGAAACAAACCAATTTGTAGAAATAATTTCTACTTGATGTGTCTCACAAAATCCTATAACAGCATATGCCATAACTAGGTTTTTTAAAGTAAAATATTTGAACTAAAAACAAAGTTGTTTATAGATAAATATATAGTATTAAAGTTACTTTTAAATGAAAAGTATTTTTAAATTTAAACTAATATAGATTACAAATTAAACCATTAGTATCAAAAAATAGAAGGTGAAACAGCTAGGCAATAATTTTTCTGTTTTTAAAATTAGTTAAAATGTTAATATGGATCTACTCAAATGGCTTTTTTTTTAATTGTAATTTAAACCAGTCAACTGATATGTTAAAAATGAAACAGTAAAAATGATATCAAAAACTGATAATTAAAAATAATTGTGTAATGAAACAAGTCATGTGTGTTATATGTTATATGCTGTTTTGACTATATATTTGAAATCAATGTATCGCTTGTCTGAATTTTCAACTTTCAACTATAATAAAATAGTGAAAAGTTTGCACATAGATAATATAACAGTCTATGTATATACACAAAAATATTATTGTATATTGTAGTCATTACTGCTCAATGAACTTGTGACTGAGATGTAATATTGTATTCCATTAACACATTAATGCAATACAATAATGTGCTTTTAAGAAACATAAGTAGGTACATAACATAAGTAGGTACATAACATAAGTAGGTACATAAGTAGGTTTAAACATAAGAAACATAAGTGGTTAAGAAACATAAGTAGTAACCTACTCATAAAAGCACAATACTGTATTGCATTAATATATTAATGTAACAAAATTTTACATATATTGCCATTCACATAAGTTATTAACAGAAAACAATGGCACGTCGTAAAGTAAATTTATCATTTATGATAAAGCAAATTTATCTTAATTTAAAATAAATTTATCATTAAGATAATCTTAATAAAACATGCAATTTCTTGAATGATTGTTAATAATACTATATTGAGGAATTATATACTTTTACTATAAAACTGCATTGAGCCATTACAACCTCCAGCAATTGTTATGTTTTATATAAAATCCAACAAATCCTAACATCATCAATAACATTCAAACTCAAACATCACGATGCATTTAGCCATTTTTAATTTTTCAATTTAAGCTTTTTCGTATCTGCCTCGATATCAATTATTTTTAAGCTATTCAAACATAGGTAAGCCCACAGCTAAAACTAGACGGGTCCTGTAAAGTGTTTTTTAAATTTTGTTTTATTGTGTTTGCCCACATTGATCACATAAAAAATCAACCATCAAACACACTTATGACCAATATGAGTCAACCCATATTAGGCCATATGTGGACTTGCCCACTTCTAAATTTATTTATGGGAAACCCAGATTAAAACCAGACGAGTTCTGTAAAGTTGTGCTAGCTATTTATTAATTTTGTTTGCCCATATTGAGCCAATAAAGAAACCAAACATCAGACACACTTAGGACCGAAGTTAGTTTGCTTACGATTGGCTCTAAGTGGGCTTGCTTACGGGGTTGTGGCCAAAGTAGTTACCTTGCAGCGTTTCTGAAGTGAATCGCAGTGGTTTGAATCCTTACGCTTGTATTTTTTATTTTTTTTATATGTATATTTTTTGTTTCTTTAAAATATAAGAAAAAACATTTTTGAAGTTCTATAGATATTATATACAAAACATATATGAAGATATTATATACAAAGCATATATGAAGATATTATATACAAAACATATATGAAGATATTATATACAAAACATATATGAAGATATTATATACAAAACATATATGAAGATATTATATACTATAACAAACAAAAGGGAGAGCATTTTTAAAAAAGCTTAAAATTTCTAAAAATGTCAAAGCACTTGTAAAAACTTATTGTGCATATGTCATGATAGAGATACTTATGTTATTAATGTGTTCAGGTAATTAGTCTTAATAAGCTGCTGATGGTCTGGAAAAAAAGGGTTGAAAATCAATAAAGAAAAACTTTAATAAGCTTGTCCTGCTACTCTAAAAGGTACTGCTGTAGAGGCAAAAAAAAAAATGCCTGTAGCTAGCAAATTTAAGTGTTAAAATAAAATTTTGAAATTTTATTTTAACACTTAAATTCTTTTTTTCTATATTTATTTTTTTTGCTATAAATATAAATGGCAAGATTGAAAAGAATATGAAGTTAGTTATGCTAAGGGTAGGACTTAAACCCCTAAAAAATGACACATGATAGCGTTTCGATACGCATTTAGGAGAAAAACAAACTATTTTATATATCAGGTTGGATCGCATAATCAAAAAAAACTGCTTTTGTGCTAACCAACAATACATGTACTTCATCAACAATAATATCCATAGATGAAACAACAGAATTTTAATAAGTCTATCAAAGAACAGCTAATCTAATGTTATATATATCTTACATATTTTTTTAAAGATGAAAATGAAGAAGAAGAGTTGGTTAAAGAAAGAACAGTTGAACGAGAATTTTATTTGAATTCTTTTATAACATCGTATGTTTTTTTTTTAAAATAGTTTGTTTAAATGGTTATGTGTTATTTTTTTACATTTGCATAAAGTTTTGATTAATAATTTAAAATGAAGTTATTGATTATAATATGTATCATTAATTTTAGGCTTGCAACTCATCAAATGGTAGGACCTTATTGTTTTTTATTAAAACATTTTCACTCAAATTCACATTCAACTAATCATGCTATTGCCAAGATGATGCACAGGGTAGCTGTTAATCTTAAGCTACCAGAAATGTTTTTTCAACTCTCTGTGTTTATTACATTTAAACAGATTCTTGAAGATCCTTCTAAACAGCTCAAGGTTCATTTTTTTAGTGTAATAAATAGTATAGTTAAATAGTATGGTTTAGAGTACCTTTTATTTGTTTCATTAAAATAAATAGTATGGTTTAGAGTACCTTTTATTTGTTTCATTAAAATAAATAGTATGGTTTAGAGTACCTTTTAATAACCGTGTAATAAATAGTATGGTTTAGAGTACCTTTTATTTGTTTCATTAAAATGGATAGTTGTTTCGTAAATATTTGTAATAAATACTTGTGTTTTTTTTTTTAAGTTTTTTTGAAAAAAAACAAACAAAAAAATCAATCAGATTAGCTTTAATTGCATTACATAGTTTAAATTATTCACTTTAATTAGTAATTAATTTTGTTATAAAAAGGCTTTTTTTAAAAAATTTTAAATTTTTATAAAGCTCTTTTTTTATACATATTTTTTAGGAGCTAGCAGATTTTGCAAAGTACATTATAAATAAGTTTGTTGAAACTTCACAAACTAACCCAAATATTTTTGTAGAAGCATTATTTTGGAAAGGCTCTGGTGATTGTTACCAAATAAGTGAGAGAGAAGGCGATGATACTAGGTATCATATTCTTTTCATTTTATTATTCAGAATATTAATAGTTTTATCTAATAATGACTTAATGAAAAGTAAAATACAAACTAAATATTATTTAAAACTAAAATATAAAAAGTTTTAATAAATGTTGTATTTTATATATATATATATATATATATATATATATATATATATATATATATATATATATATATATATATATATATATATATATATACACACATATATATATATATATACATATATATATATGTATATATATATATATGTATATATATATATATATACATAATTGTATATGTGTATGTATGTATATATATATATATATATATATATATATATATATATATATATATATATATATATATATATGTATATATATATATATATATATATATATACATATATATATATATATACATATATATATATATATCGGAGTTATAGAGTTGAGAGAGGGCTATAACCAAAAATAAGTAGCCTCCTCGTCTGTAGTGGCCTTCTCGGCCTTGAGGAGGTGAATTAAATAAAAAATATATATATATACACTTACTAAAGCGTGTTTTGATAAGCATTTGCTCACTTTTTCTGCTTACCTTAAGCTATACCATTTTTTTCGAAAAAGAAGAAGAAAATATGAAGAATGATGAATAAAATGATTGCTTCCCCCATCCCAAACCCTCAGTCGATGTAGCAGCACTCCACTGCAAGTCAGGCTATTTGTCAGTCGATGTATGTACTGAAGCCCCCAGCAGCAGGCTATTTCAGTATGATGTCAGATTGCTTACCTTAGTACGCAATACTATTTGTGTATATATATATATATATATATATATATATATATATATATATATATATATATATATATATATATATATATTAGATGCTATCGATTATTTGAAGGTTGACTTAATCTTAATAGATATATTGAATATATATATATATATATATATATATATATATATATATATATATATATATATATATATGTGTATATATATATATATATGTATATATATATATATATATGTATATATATATATATATATATATATATATATATGTATATATATATATATATATATATATATATATATATATATATATATATATATATATATATATATATATATACATATACATATACATATACAATTAGCACACACTATAAATATAATATATATTTTATTCAATTTATACTCTTTTAAACATTAAAATACCTAAAAATAGTTATAATCAGAGAAGTAATAAGAAACATTGTTTTTGGCGCTAAATGTTTTCCCGTGTCAAAATAACTTAGACCATATGATATTTTCTGATGACAAACAATTAGCACACATCAGTCATTTAACATTTGACTGCAACAGACAAATTGCTAATGCAGGTAAGTGATACATATATTAATGTAGACCAAAGAACCATCATATGTGAACTAATCAAATGTGTTACAAAAGACTACTATGGGGCGTAGAACTAAGTTAAATGCTGAAGAAGTTGCTATGATCAAGTCATTCAAGGCTCCCAATGTATCAACGTCTTAGATATGGAAACATGTACTGCAAACTCGTAAAGTGGGCAAAAAGATTTTGAAGGTTTCTGATATATATTTGAAAACAAAATCCAACTTAAATGTTCGAAATTTACCAAGCATGACAAACATTACATGCTACAAGTGGCTTCAAACACGGGTTTGTAGTGCCTGATTCACACGCCCAGCTAGATATGCGGTAGTGGTGTAGTGGTAAAGCACTCGCTTCATAAGCGAGAGGTTCCGAGTTCGATCCCCACCACGTCCCTGGTAATACTGCGTTCAACTTGTTTCTCCGCGCAGCGGCCTTGTTCGTCAAGGTTCGTGTTTCTGAGTTATAGAGTTGAGAGAGGGTTATAACCACTATTAAGCAGCCTCCTTGTCTGTAGTGGCCTTCTCGGCCTTGAGGAGGTGAATAACTAAAAAAAAAAAATATTAATGTGTCATAAAGCCAAACATTTGAGGTATGCAAAGTGTATTTTAACGCCAGCAATGCAGAAAAATCACAGGAAAAACATATGGCGTGTGCGAACAAACATTTGTCTTGTCCACCTGATTGGAGCTCAATTATTTGGTCAAGATAATGCATCGATACATACGATATGACATCCAGTTGTTTGATCATCCAGCGCTAGTTCCCGACTTGAATCCAATTGAAAACATTTGGAGTTACTTGTCTTGTCACGTGTATGCAAATGAAAAACAATATAGTAACGTTACGGAACTGAAAATGGTCATCCAGATGGAATAGAACAAAATCCCCTAATCTTTGCTTGTATGCTCATTTCAATCTTTTGCTTGTTAAAACATTTCCTCCATGCTCAGGCATTCAGGTTATTATGAAGAAAGTAAAAAAATATAAAGTTGCTACCTATAAGCATTAATGCTTCTTTTTAAAAGTTAAGTTTGGCATATTCTATTAAAATCATGTTTGAAAATTTGTTTTTTATCAAACAAGATAAAGTTCAGTCAGCATATTCTTTCAAAAATCAGGTAAATCATTTGTCAGTGTAATTTTTTATAATGATGGCCATCCATTTGTCATAATATGAGATTTTCAAATGGAAAGGTTTTCCAAGAAACCATATGTTGTTGTCAAATCTTGTGTTTCACAAATCTGAAATAGTTTGAAGTTATGCTTGAATATCTACAAGTTATGTAGATCTTATTTTTTTAAAGTTTTTTATACTTAAAAATTCTGATTCAAAATAACTTATTGAAACCAAACTGTTTGCAAAGTGAAGAGTTTGCAAATAAAAGCAACAGTATGTTTGCAAAGAAAATATAAAAGCTCTAAAAAGTTCAATTGTAGCTACAAATCCAATGTCAAAATGAGACAAAGACCTTTTTGATTATGATATATTTTTAGCTACGTTGATGTCAATACAAGATACAGAGAACTACTATAGAAATAGACTGCTAGTGAACTAGATAGTACAAATAAAAAATTTAAAAGCACACAAAATTGTCCCTCAAGCAAGAGACTTTTCTAATAAAACTAAAAAGTTCTTTTGATTTTACCCAGGGTGGATCCAGAGTTGATTTAGGGTGGATCCAGAGTTGCTCTGGAGCTGAAGTCAATTTTTATACCTCAAATGTAGACCTCAAGACTCAAGGCCCTGGAGCTTGCAAGTACATAACCCTGTTAACTTAAGGACCTCAAGGCCCTGGAACTTGCAAGTACATAACCCTGTTAACTCAAGGACCTCAAGGACCTTAACTTTTTAGTAGATCTAAGTTTATTAACTTTTTAGTAGATCTAAGTTTATTAACTTTTTAGTAGATCTAAGTTTATTAACTTTTTAGTAGATCTAAGTTTATTAACTTTTTAGTAGATCTAAGTTTATTAACTTTTTAGTAGATTTAAGTTTATTAACTTTTTAGTAGATTAAGATTATCAACTAACTTCTGTGAAACTCTACATATATTATGCATATATATTGCAAACATAATGTGATGGATTGTGGAATATAGCGGCATAATTGCCAAACTAAATAATTTTTCTTTATTAGAAAATAACTCTCAGAATACTCCTCTAGCACATCTTGATTAAAGAGCTTGATTAAAGACAATAAACATGGCGTTTCTGCACTTAACAGAAAGCTTGTTGATTCAAAAAAGGAGTGAGCTGTTATAAATGAACCTTCATTTGTTTAACATGAAGTAAACATGTGATCATGTGGATTTTGTGGTGTAACATGTGTTTGGTGGGGATTAGTACTGATAAAGTAAATTTGCAACATCTGCAATTGAAACTTGTGTAGCATATTGTACGCTCATTAAACAACATGCAGTTAAATAACTAAGTTTAGATAAAATCTTAAAACCATTATTAAGTTCATCTTGTACTGCTTTAACTATAAGGTACTAAAAAATGCTGTTCAAAGTTCCTAAGAATGTATCAATCTTTTAATGTTAAATGTACGTATAGTTCATTTAACATTACTAAAGTGATACACACAGTTTCTAAATTTTTTATTAGATTTGATCCACAAAAATTATGCAAAATGATCAGGTGCAAATAAATAAATTGTGTGATACATAACATCTAAGTTATCTATATTGTTTAATCCACTTTCCAGTATTAAGTTTCAGATGGTGAGGTACCATCTGAAACTGGAAAATGTTACTTAAAGAATGCTACTCGACTATTTTTACTACAGACAGTTGAGTAGCATTATTATATTTAAGTAATGTCTGCCTACTTGGAAGTCTTAAAATGTTACCGTCTAGCAAGTTCATTATATGCTGAGGCTGATTTCCATGTAAGATAAGTTTATAAATATAAACTTATTATACATCTTACATGGAAATAAATAAATAATAAATTATCAATTAGTTGACATCTCATTACTCTGTTAATTGGTTCTGCCCTTCCCAGAAAAGTTTCATAAATAGTGTGGTATTTTCTTGGCTTTTACTAATTATAAAATCAAGGTCAATTTAAACCAGTTCTGACTTGAATAACATTAAATTGTATTCCCTTCAGCATTTCTTTAATACTCTACAGTATTTTTAATACTCTATAGTATTTTTTTGTTTTTAAAACATTCCTTAACTAGTGCTACCTTTGCATGAATAGGGTGTGTGATAGTTAGGAGTTTGTGACAGATATGGGTGTGTGATAGATTTGGGTGTAATAGATATAGAAAATTCAAATGAGCTGGTTGATTATTTATTTTTCTACTAGCTTTACTTTTAATTGAATAAATTTTTTGATTTTTTATAATTTTTTTTTTTAATTTAAAATTTTATTCTGTAATAAATGCTGAGAGTAAAATATTTATTTAATAAACTTTTTACTGTCAGTATTTATTAGAAAACAATCTTTGTGACATTTATATTAATTAGCTTTTTTATTGTGAATGTCAAACTTATGTGAAAGTTTCAAAATATTTTTTTTTTAATGTTAAATGGTAGTTACTTGTTTTTCAAATGTTTTTATAAAGTTTTAAAATATAAAAACAATAATAGTATTATACATAATTCAAATGTCAAAAGAATAAATATTGTTTTGATTATAAATAAAAATAACAATTTTGCCACGAAAAAATTTAAAAATGCTGACAGCAATAACAACTATAAAAAAACTGACATCAGCAGCAACTCTAAAAACACTGACTCTAAAAATGCAACGACTAAATGATTTAATTAGATTTAACATCAAGTAAGTTATTCCTCCAGCGTTAATGAAAATTGTCTGTTTGAGTGGGAAGTTTAAATATATTAAAACTTTATATACCTTTATTTATATACTTTTAAATATTTAGAAGTTTTTGTAACTCATTCTAAATAAGATCCAGACTTTTTTAATTCAAAAAAATTATAAAAATAACTTCAAGTGGGTTTTTTTTTTGGAGTCTTTTTTTTAATTAAGAAAAGTGAGAGAAACTAAAACTTCAAGTCACACTTGGTAAATAAATTTATATATATATATATATATATATATATATATATATATATATATATATATATATATATATATATATATATATATATATATATATATATATATATATATATATATATATGTATATATATATATATATATATATATATATATATTATCTATTCACTGAGTGAGTATATTTATAAGTATATTTTGCGCTTACTTTATTCATTTGATTTTTAAACAATAACACCCTTCCAATAGTACCACTCCACAATAGCACCCTTCCTTGAAAATATCTAATATATGGATCAAGGGTTAACTTTTATTGACTATAATGTTAAAAATCTTTTTAAGGAATCATTCTGTTAAAACTCGTGAAAAATGGACATTTGAAGAAGAAGAGCAGCTTAAAGAGCTTTACAATCAACACAAAGAAAATAAAGGTAAATTATTAATTCAAAATATTTACTACAAAAAAATTTTTCTGCACTATTTTATTTTACATTATGATTTTTTTAAAAGAGAGACATTTTAGGGTTCTGAATTTGATTCTCACCACGCTCTCTTTGCTGTGGCCTTTATTGTCAAGGCTTATATTGTCAAGGCTTGTGTTTCAGAGATAAAGAGTTGAGATTTGAGAAGAGAAGAGAGAGTTGTAACTTTTAAAAAATGAAATTAAAATTACGAAAAAACGTTTTATTCAATGTAGTAGAAAGGTGATTTCAATTTGAAAAAATATATATATATACATGTTGTTCGTTTAACTTAATTGATTAAAGATTTGAAAAGTAAAAAATAGTAAAAAATCATGTTTGTTTATATATTTTATACTATATATATTTAAAAGTAAGTCGTAAGTTAGTTTTATTACTTTGCTTAAGTAAACTGGTACTTGACAATTTTTTATTAAAAAATAAACAGTTGGCATTGGCATAATCAAACAGTTTGTTTATGAACTGATAAAATATATTTATCAAACATAAATTCAATAGATATATTTTAAAATTAACTTTTTCTTGTAATATTATAAAGGTTGTCATGTTTGCAGATAGATTTAGTTCTTAACACAAAACTCTTACTGTTTAGTTTGCATCGAGTCTTGAAAAACCCAAATGATCCATATATAATAGTTAGTGTGGTCTTAAAAAATTTACTTAAAAATTTACTTAAAAATTTTTTTTATTAAAATAAATTAAAATATTTTTTTAAAAAATTTACTTAAAAAATTTTTGAATCAAAATAATGTAAATAAGCTTCTTATTTTTCAAACGTTGTAAGCTGTGGCAAACTGGAAAAATGCCAAACTTCTAATTAAAGTTAATTTGAGTTAAATTTAATGATCTTGGGGTGCAATTAAAGGTAAAACATTTAAAAATAGTTTTTTCTATAAAAAGCTATTGATTAACAATTAGTTTTTTAATATGAACACAAGGTCAATTAATCAAGGAGTACTTCATGTGGAGACAAGTTCAATCAATCAAGTGTTTTTATGTGAATGTATGTTCAATTAAAACTTTACTTCTTAAATTATAGTTTTTTTTAAGTGACTTCTTAAAATCCCAAAAATATTTAGATTTATAATTAACTAAATAAACTTTTTCTACAAGATATTATTTTATTAATAACTTGTTTAAAATCTTTTAATCATCTTTTTTACTTTTTATCTTTACCATATCTTTTTTACTCAAATTAAAATTTGAGTAAATAAGGGAATAAAGAGCTTTACATTTCTTTTTAAAATCTCTAAGCTCTTTTTGTCAAAATTTGCAATTCATTGATGATTTTCCCGTACAAAGTACATGCAATTATTTTCAAATATTGTGAGGTGCTATAGGGTAATTTTGACTTTGTTTATGTCACGGCTGTTTCACTCAATATAAAAGCGAGCTTGACGTCACCAGAATTTTTGTGTTTATAAAAAAAAAAAAATTTTGCATAAGTTTAAAAATTCACTAACTTTAAATTAATAGTATTTTTTTTCTATAAACGCTTTAATCTTCGAATTAAAAAAATATAAAAGAACTATCTTTCTTCGTTAAATAAATATTTACATGAAACAAAATAAAAATAAACATTGTTAAAATATTTTAAATGATTTTGGATCACTTTTCTATTTTTTGCGTATTTTACGGAAAACCTGTCTTGGGCCAATCAAGATTTGATTTTAAGCTACATTCTTGATGATTGAAATTTTATATACTTATAAACGAATGTCCATTTTATCAGTTTTTGGAGGGCATATATAAAAAAATTAGTTTAAGTTAGTTTTTTTAGCATTTTTATTTTTGTTTTTATTTGTTTTTGTTATGCCCTCCAAATTATTGAAATTTCAACCCTCTATGCACATGAAAATCAAAAAATTTACTTTCTGTACTTCTAACTAAAACGTCTTCAACCTTGGCAAATTTTGTTGTTTTTAGCAAAAATTTGTAGTTACATGCGTAAAATTTTTGTTTATATTTTAAAGCAATGACGAAAATTTAAATGCGTTACTTCCCAATTCACTATGTAATTTATTAAAACAGCTTTTTTAGCGAGACAAATTTTAGTGTATAAATAAAAAAAACTTTGGCGGTTTTTTTTCTCTCGTGGCTAATATAGAAACATCAGATAAGTTGTTTAATCCTCTGATGTCTATTGCATACTTGTTATTTGTCAATAATTATTATGTAATTTTATTTGTTTGTATTATATTTGTATTAAGAAGTTTATTTATCACTATGCATTCTAGTAAAAGAGGAATATTGATACTATACATTAGATGCTTAAAAGCTTAAGCTTTAAATTTTTAGGCATTAAGCTTTAGCTTTAAATTTTTGTAACATTTAAGTAAGATTTTTTTGTTTTTATAATAGTCCAACAATCTGTACATTTAATAATAAATATCGAAAATATATTCTTCCTGAGTTTTTTTTGATAAAAAGTAACATCAAATTACTAATATTTAGCCAAGTTCAACATTTGCCACGTTTATTCTTAAATTAGAGAAGTTTTTTAATATATCTGCAAAACGTCATCAAATAAAACATTTTATTGGTGTTTTTATTCTTTTTACAGAACAAAATTATCTCTAATGTTTCAAAAGTAATAAAAGTTTTAGTAACACCCCTTACGTGAATATTTTCAAAAAATAACAAGAAGCCGTAAAGCTCGATTGAAACGACTGTGATGCATGATTTAATTATGGTTCATACTTAATCATCATATTTGTATTTTTAATTTTTTTTAGTTGTAGCATTTTCAGAATTGTTGAGGTTGGCAGCGTTTTTAGAGTTGTTGTTGTTGTCAGTGTTTTTAGAGTTGTTGTTGTTGTCAGTGTTTTTAGAGTTGTTGTTGTTGTCAGTATTTTTAGAGTTGTTGCTGTTGTCAGTGTTTTTAGAGTTGTTGCTGTTGTCAGTGTTTTTAGAGTTGTTGTTGTCAGTGTTTTAGAGTTGTTGTTGCTAGTCACTACTCACAGACTACTGTAGTAAATTGTCTCATATATTGTATATTTATTAAAAGAACCTTCAAAAGTATTTATATTTTTCATTTTTAAACTACAATGATTTTAAATACATAACCCATTTTTGACAGAATTTTTATTTTTAATTTGAATGTTTTTCCACTAGGGTGTGATGGTTTTTTACATACCTTGTTTTTTTGTTTTTTTTTACATTTACTCCCCAAAACCACTTATGAACTCTCTCATGGAAACCATATATAGAATCAATTGCAAAGTGAGGATCTGCTAAAGTTGCTTCTCTTTATTGTGCTTGCCATTATCTTTTTCCTGATTCCATTCTCTACCCCTCTACAAATCTCTTATTCATCCTTGTGTGAAATACTGTTGTCATATTTGGGCTAGCTCTTCTAATGATGCTCTTTCTCTAATAGACAAGGTCCAAAAACACATTGTAAATGTAGATGGATTTACTTTATCTTCCAAGTTTAAGCCTCTCTCCCATCGTCATAAAGTATTTTTTTGTCAAGATTTCTCCCTGCACTTCATCCATTTGGAACTCTCTCCCATTTTCATGTTTTCCTGAATCATACAACATTTCAAGTCTTCTGTCAAGTCTTCTGTTTTCTTGCTCTTTAACTCTATTCTTTGTTTTCAAGTAATACTTAATAGTGATTGTTTTCAGCTTTATTGGAAGTAAATAAGATTTTTTTTTTTTTAAAAAAAAGGCACTACGGGTACTACTACAATCAAGGACATTTATGAAAAGTTTTTTTTTTAATTACTGCCCGAAACATTTGGGAAATTATCAGCTTTTTTTAATTTTTTAATTTCTTTTTTTTTTTATTGTTATAAGAAAGATAACTATAGTCAAGATTGTAAAAAAATTTTATAAAAACTTGGTTAAAAATTGTTTATGATTTGATTAACTGAGAGCAATGGATTTTAACTTTCAGAAAAACTTTGTTAGAAATTATTTATGATTTGATTAACTGAGAGTAATGGGTTTTAATATTTAGAAAAACTTTGTTAGAAATTGTTTATGATTTGATTAACTGAGAGCAATGGCTTTTAATTTTGTCAGAAATTGTTTATGATTTGATTAACTGAGAGCAATGGCTTTTAACTTTCAGAAAAACTTTGTTAGAAATGGTTTATGATTTGATTAACTGAGAACAATGGTTTTTATTTTTCAGAAAAGCTTTGTTAGAAATTGTTTATGATTTAATTAACTTAGAACAATGGTTTTTAATTTTCAGAAAAACTTTGTTAGAAATTGTTTATGATTTGATTAACTGAGAGCAATGGCTTTAATTTTGAGAGCAATGACTTTAAAAGCAACGATCTTTTTACTGAATTAAATTAAAATTGTTAGGAAAAGTTTAAAGAATAATTGCAAGAAAACTAATGAGATTGAAAGCAGATAACTTGATAGATAGAAGTAAAACAGAGTTTTTAATAACTTGAATGTGAGAAGCTTTTAGGCTTAAAATATTGTTTGTTGTTTGTTTTTTTTTTGTTTGAAGAGTAATTCTTTCTTTAGATGTTATTGAAGAAATTTTAAAGAGTACAATAGCTAAAGATCGCACAAAGCGACAAGTAAACTTTATATTTTTTATTAATATCAAGTAGATATCTATATTTTTTGTTTACATTTTTTCAGAATATTTAATGGTAGACCTAAATAGCTTTGTTTTTTTACTATTTTAATTTTTTAATATTCTAGATAATCAATAAATTGGTGCGGCTTCGTCTTATTGAGAATGCAAAAGAACTTCCTAAGTAAGAAAATTCAATTAAAATGTTAAGAATATTGTGGTAATAAAATTAATAGAAATAAAGATGGTGTAATAGTAATAAAGATGATATATTTTTTTAATGTAAGTTCTTTAGCTTCCATAGTAAATATGTTAGATTAGATTATATTAGATTGTTTTTATTAGAACAAATAATACATGTTCTGAAAAACAGGCAAGTCCATATTGATGGATACTAACAGCTTGCCCCAAAATAAATAAATTATGTAACAGTTTACAACATTGAATAAATGATTTATATACAACTAAACAATAAGTTTTTGCATTCACAAGTTAAAGCTAGATTGACTACCTCTGTATATAAATTAAATTCATGAAGTTTATTAGCAAGACTTAATTATTAGAAAAATTTTTAGAGTTAATTTTTAGTATATATATATGTGTATATATATATATATATATATATATATATATATATATATATATATATATATATATATATATATATATATATATATATATATATATATATATATATATATGTATATATATGTTATATATATATATATATATATATATATATATATATATATATATATATATATATATATTTGCTTGGCAAGCTAAAGAGGTTCATGTTTCAGAGTTATAGAGTTAAGAGAGGGTTGTAACCAAAATTATAGTACCCTCCGAGACTGTAGTGGCATTCTCGTCCATAGGGAGGTAAATTAACATTAAAAAAAAATTAAAATGTAGAGTACTACAGAAAAGCAAAAATATAAAAAAATATTATGTTTAGTAGAAAATGATTTGTTAAATAATTAATGTAGATAATAATAAAATTAATAATGATAAAGAATAAGAAATATTATTACCACTTAATGTATTTCTATTTTTAAAAATATGATATGATTCTCAGAGAGAAAAAAGTCAAGCAACCGAAATGGAGTGAGGAGCAGACAGAAGAATTACTTCGATGTTTTGAAGAATTTAAACAAACAAACGACCCTGTTGCAAACATAATGGCTGCACTTACTTTCCCTAAGTCTAAAAATATGGTATTACATTTTATTTTATGTTAGTTTTACTTTGTTTTTTAAAAAATCATTTCTTATTGTTATTGTTGTAGTTTGAAACTGTTATTTTAAAAAAAAAAGCATTTCTTCCGTTGTTGTTAGAAACTGTTATTGTGTTTATTTTTCTTTATGTTTTTTTAATTTCCAGATTATTAAACATTTGTTGGAAACAGGAAAAGTTGCTGATAAAAAAGAGTTATACAAGAATAAAAAATCAAAAAAAAAAGATTCTATGGTATTTTATTATTTTAAACTTTCTTTTTGGTAAAGAAAATTGTTTCATAATTTAAAAGAGGGTGCAAATGAAATAGGGGTGCCATCTTGGCATATAAAAAGGTAAATCTGTTGAATTCTTCCTTGATGCTTTCACTCTCTTCCGACCTTGAGGAGGTGAATTTTTTTGTTTCAGGTTATTTATTTTATTTGTCTGCTTCCGCAGCAAACATTCAATAGCGGAGTTTTAGTGGATATGTATGGGCATTTTGAGCGGTCCACTGTAGTTTTGCTCATCAGTTACTTAGTGGACCATTAGTGGCAGTCAACAATAGTGGCTAGTTGACGACTAGCCACTATTAACATGTCAGAATGTTATTGGCTGGCCATTTATAGCGGCTGCCACTAATGGTATACTAAGTAACCAATGACCAAAACTCCAATGAACCACTCAAAAATGCCTATATAGGTCAACTGAAAATCCACTAAAACAATGTTTGCTGGGTTGTTGGCTTGAAATCTTTAAATAATTGTACCACTTAAACTTTATTTATTCAGAATGGTGATAAAGACAGTTCTCATGATGATAATGATACAGGTGTGGCTATCTATTTTTTTATTTATTTTTTTAATTTTATTTGTTGTATTTAAAATTGTATTTTAGAATTGTTTTTTATATCACTGTTACGTTTAAGCAGTTAAATTGATCCCAGATTCCTAATAGAAGTTGAGTATTTCCAGGTTCCTTTTATTGGTATATACTGCCATATATTGTTATGGGCAGTGTTTAATAGTTGGTGTATTTTTGTTGTTGTTTTTACTACATTCTTAAGCTATTAATCATTTAAGTTCTTTTAAAAAAATCTTTTAAGAAACATTTTATTTTAGATGATGATGATGATGATGTTATGGGTGCTAGAGAAGAATTTCATCCTCACTCAGCAGAAGGTCTTTCTCATAAAGTTCATGTTGAAAACTGTTTTGAAAGTATCCCATATAACGAAAATAAATTTGTCAACTTGTGCTGCCAGTTAAAACAAAAAGGTTTTTTTTTTAATAATTCCTTTTTAATTTTTCTATAGTTGTATTTTTGGAATGTTGTTGCTGATTGAACCTGCAAATGCAGGCTAATCTTACCTTTTTCCTTCAAATTCTGATTTTACCCTTTTTCCCTTTAAATGCAGGTTGATCTTTCAATCAATGACCTTTTTCCCTTCAAATTTAACATCTTGTTAACAAGGATTAAGTTTTCAATTTAAATTTTTATGCTTGTTTTGCTGATTTTATTTTTTTATATATATTTTATCATTTTGTATTATAATTTTGTTACTTATTTTTAATGATAATTTATTAGTTATTAAAAAATAATATTTAAGTTTTTTTTACATGAAATTAAAAGTTGTTTTTATACTTTTTTACATTTAAAAAAGTAAAAAACAACTTTAAATTTACAAAGAATGTTATTCACAAAAATAAAGTAAAAAAAAGTGAAACTTTTAGAAAGCTTTATCTTCAAGCTGATCACAATATTTTCTCAATGTAATGAGCTTTTGAATGATAGTTTTTATAAAACTGATGCATCTAATTGGAAAGAGTTGGTTGATGTCTGCTGCAATTTTGCCAATCTTAAGCAGCTCAGGTTTTATGTTTGCCCAAATTTTTTAGTTAAACAAAGTTGTATTTTGACATTAGCTGGATTCATGTTTTTTGAGACAAAGTTGAGACTATTTTGTTGATTACATTATTGGATTACTTCCTTTGAGTAACGACAAGAAGATAGTTATGAAGATCATGAAGTCACAATCTTGATGATGCAACTTTTTACTTTATTTAAGTTTATGCTTTTTACTAACAAATTAATTAGAACATAACGATTTTTAATCCACTCAAATAAACATCCACTTTTTTACTATTTGAACAGGATATATATATATATATATATATATATATATATATATATATATATATATATATATATATATATATATATATATATATATATATATATGTATATATATATATGTGTATATATATATATATATATATATATATATATATATATATATATATATATATATGTATATATATGTATATATATGTATATATATGTATATATATATATGTATATATGTATATGTATATATATATTAGGACAATTTTTGTATGACAATTTTTCAACCCTGTATCCCCATACTCAATTTAGTGGAGTTTTTATGCAAAAATCATGAAAATATCAAGCATTTATACTATATCTCAAAAAAGTTCACCCCCCATTTAAAAATAAGATTAATAGAATATAAGAAATGTTATTTTGCAACACATGTTCCAGTACTTTATAGAAAACTAACAAACATGAATAATTAAAATAATTTTACAGTGTATTTAGTAATAAGTATTTAATGTTAAGTTTTTTTACTAAATCTTGCATCACTTTTACTGCATGTTCTGCACATATGTTTGACCATTGTGTTGAAATCGGTGGTTGCTCTGTGGACCAAAATATTTTCAACGATTTTAATGCTTTTGGATGCTCATTGCATGCTTCTAATAGATTAACAAAATCTGCAGAATTGAAGTAGTGATCACCAAACCATAAATCACCCCATGAACCACAGCTGAAGTTGCATGCTGCTTGAGCAGATTTCGATTCTTGATAGTCTGATATTAGAATGTAAGCAAGTAGAATAAAAATTGCTCTCAAGTTCCATATTGGATTGCTTATAGCAGGAAGTGCTTTAAAATTCACTTTTGGAAAGGTACCTGTGCTTTTAAACTTTCTATAACAAGCTATTAAATGATGCAGGAAGTCCATGTCATCTAGCCAGCGTGTCCAATTCACTTTTGTCGAAAGATCTCCAGTATTCTGAAATAATAACTTCAGGTTCTCGTAGCCTTGGAATAATCTTGTCACAAAAGGGTAATGAAGATTTGGTAATGATGTTGTCACAAAAGGGTAATGAAGATTTGGTAATGATGTTGTCACAAAAGGGTAATGAAGATTTGGTAATGATGTTGAACTTTCAAAAAGATTATTCATGATATGTTTTAAAAGGGTATATAAAATATGGTGTTAGCATCCTATAAAAGTATGCTTCTCTAGTCTAATAGTTTTGAACTGTTTTTATAACAATGTTACTACACTAATTCTTATTCCGGTATTTGCAGATGTTGTGTCAGATACAGTCATTTTTATGGCTGGCCACAGCTCATTAATCCAGCACAAGCTTTATTCCATTAAATATAGTTTTACCTTTTCCATTCGTCAGCTTGAGAACAACAAGTCTAACCTCTCTCTTTTCATTTTTCAAAACAACTACTTGATGCTCCATTTTCTTTATGTGCTTTCCATCAAAGTGTAAAGACCACTTTTCATTTTTTAAATTCTCCATATAATTTGCTTTCAGCTTTTCTCCTTCTTTCATGACACCTTTGTAGACACCACTTTAAGTTGGAATAGGTATAGAACTTCCACCTTTTGATAAAGTTTTGCAGACTTTATATGCTTTTTTGGTACTCATCTTAGCAGAAATCACTAAATTTACAGCTAAATTTGTTTTTTGTCTTTTAGATGATGATGACAAACTTTCCACATCTTCAGCTTCAGTATCACTGCTGGAACACTGCTCTTCAGTTTCTGAATGACCTCCTTTTCTTGCTGATTCATCGAAATCTTGGTCTCGGCTGATGGAAGTTTGTTTCCTTATCAACACTAGTTTTGTTTGATGAATACCTTCAGTATCTTCAATTGTGGTACAATATCCAACTCTTTCATTTGTTGACACTTGCAGACAGTAGAATTCTTTATCTTCGTGACACAACCATTTACTTTTAATAATAATAATAATGATAATAATAATAAGAGATAGCTGTAACAACTGGTGTTAACAGTTGTGGAGCGCAATAACTGTTGATATTGCACTGTATCAGCTTTGCACAATTCCTAAATCTCTAAATCAAATTATCTTAAAAACAATTTTGTAATAAAATGTTTTTGCAAATATTTGATTTATCTAGTTTGTTTTTGAACTGATTTATTGATTCTGCTTCTATTATGTCACTCGGTAGATTATTCTATATATTGACTATACGATTAGAGAAAAAATTTGATCTGATAGTATTCTTGCAGAATATTTTTTTTAATTTGAATTTATGTTGCCTCAGATGGGAGCCTTCTTGTGACGCGGTATAATTATAGTTTGAAACCCAGTTTACTTTATCAAACCCATGTTGAATTTTATACTGTTGGATTAGATTGCCATTTATTCGCCGTTCTTCTAGAGTTGTTAATTGATCTTTTCTCATATGGTATTTTTTTAAATGCTGCCGCTAACTTTGTGGCTCTTCTTTGGATTTTCTCAATTTTATCGATGTATTATCTTAAAAATGGACACCAAGCTTGAATCACAAATTCAAGGTGTGGCCAAACAAATGTTACATACAACTTTTTCACCATATTTGTGTCGATGTATTTGAATGTTCTTCTTATAATACCAAGCACTGAGTTTGCTCTGCCAACCGCTGTATCAACTTGAGTTTTCCATTTTAAATCAGGTTGTATCATTATACCCAAATTTTTCATCAGTTATGTTAAACAATTGAGTAAAATTTTGAGTTCTTGGTTTATCTTTGTCAAGTTTTTCAATATATTTTCTATTTATCTTTCTGATGCTGATTTTCCTTGTGGAATTGGAATATTTAGCTTTCACCATAGTAGTTCAGTTTCTTTAGCAAAAATTGCAACTATCTCCTTTCTGCTTTTTACATTTGATGACAAACTTTTGAATCAATCAATGATATGCTGTTCTGTTAGCAACTTATTCATTTCACTAATACTTTTAACAATAGCACATCTTCTCACAAGTCTTAGCTTTTTCAAACCTCACTAAATTTGATTTCCAAACTTTCTTATTCTTTTCGCAAGCAAAGACGCAAGACCATTTTTAGCCATTTTCCTATGTTTATTATGTAATTTATAACTCATTAGGATAACACTAAAAAGATAGGAAAAATTATTTTTAGCTTGGGGGGGTGATCTTTTTCAAAAATTAACATTAAAAACTTATATTTTTTGTTTATAAATATAATTTCTCCACTCATGGTGGCATGGGGAATTAAAAATTCTTAAAAAAATGTTTTAGTCATACCCCTACTATATATATATATATATATATATATATATATATATATATATATATATATATATATATATATATATATATATATATATATATATATATATATATATATATATATATATATATATATATATATATATATTATTCTCCCGATGTGGTTCCAAAAGTAATAAGGTAAATTGGTGCGACATTAACACATCTTTAGAAAATATATTTTTTCTCTTGATATATGCGGTAGTAGTGTAGTGGTAGAGCGCTCGCTTCATAAACGACTGGTTCCGAGTTCGATCCCCACCACGTCCCTGGTAGTACCACGCTCAACTCGTTTCTCCGCGCAGCGGCCTTGTTCGTCAAGGTTCGTGTTTCGGAGTTATAGAGTTGAGAGAGAGTTATAGCCACAAATAAGTAGCCTCCTCGTCTGTAGTGGCCTTTTCGGCCTTGAGGAGGTGAATTAAAATAAGAAATAAGACAAAATTATTTTGATGTAAAGTATTTTTATGTGAACAGGAGAGACACTCAAGCTTGGCAGATAAAGCAGGTCTAACTACATTTACAATGTGTTTGTTGACCTTGTCTTTTTTTGACTTGTTTCTTTGTGCATTAACCTTGTTCTTCAAGATTCCTGTTTTATGGTTATAGATAGGAGATAGATTGGGTTATAACCATAATTAAGGTAATCTCCTCAACTGTAGTGGCCTTCTCAACCTTGGGGAGCTGGATTGACATTTAAAGAAATTAAAAAAAAAAATTAAAAAATGTTTCTTTAAATGTGCCTTGGAAAGTTTACATTATAGTTAACAGTACACATAAAAAAAGTAATTTTTTCTAAAAAGTACACATACTGATACAATACTGTTTTCTAAAAGTTTTCTAATACTTGACTTGGAGTTTACTCAAAACAAACAGGTG